GAGGAATGTGGAGCATCATGGGAAGTTCTACTTTAGCATCGGTTTGACAAATCAGGAAATCATTTATCAGCAGCATCAAACTGGGCAGGATGTCAAAGTGGACTCTGGTTGCTGATTGGTGGAGCTGGTTGGCCGTCATCTGCTGGGCGGAGCTCCAGGCTTTCTTTCTGAAACAGGTTTCTTTATGATGACTTTATTCTCGTAATTTTACGACTTAATTTTCGAAATAGAAGAAAAAAATCTCTATCCTTGCCCTAATACTCTGTCGTATGCGACAGTAAAACTGAGAAAAGCAGCCTTAGCATTTAAATTAAATTCCTGCATTCGTCCTCCATCCTGCTCTTTTGTCTCCCGCTATCTTCTCCATGAGCAACACTTGGCTCGACCAATAGGATGAGGGGATTCTGGATCGTTACATAAATGCTGTCAGCTCATTGGTCACAACACAAGACAGGGACGGGAACAAGTTTACCATAAGTTTTGTATCTAACGTGCCCTTGTTCTCCATTTTCCATCAGCTTTTTACTGACTGTTTTTTACTCTCCCAGTAAAACGGGACAAAGTTCGTTCCTTTTCCACTAAATACGGAACGATTCCGTTTTTCAACGGACGGCTGGCAACCCTATTGCCATGAGGATAAACAAAAGTCACAGATATGTGCTTCAAATTATGACTCAAACATTATAGAAAGGGTTACTTTTGAAGATATTGGAGAAGCTAAAAAATACAATATATTATATTATACAATAGATTATATACACCTGGCTGACATCACCCTGCTAATGGCAGATGCTAGGCTAATATTAGCCTAGCTTGTCGTCATGAGATCCACAGAGGCCTCATATCAAAACCAAGTTAATGAAAAATATTTCATATCAAATATTTGTTTCATTGAGGACAGTTAGATTTTACCGTATTTTCACGACTATAAGGCGCACTTAAACGTCTTTTTTTTCCCTCAAAATGTGCGGTGCGCCCTATGGTGCGGTGCGCCTTATGTGTGTTGTAACTGCGACTTTTGAGACCACCTCATTGAGGAGATGATGAAAGAGTGGCTTAATGTAAGGAGACCAGGTGTTTTTTTTTCCACTCATCACCATCGCTGTTAATATGTGACTCCATGCGTGCGCATCTCACAGCTGATGTGAAAAACATGGGGAAACAAATTAACGCTGTGCTCGCTGTTCAACCGCTCGACATCGGTGTGAACCGGACCCAGCAGGTGCAGCAGAAGCAGCGAGTTTACATGCAAAGTCAATGGTTGACGCGCGTATAGGTGCAGCAAAAGGTCCTGCAGCGCGTTTTGAGCTGCAGGTGCAGCGCGTCGGGAGCGCGCCGCCAACGCGCTGCTGCTGCTCGAGATGGAAAAATTGAAGTTTTGCTGCTGGACGCGCCGCATCAACCAATCAGAGAAGCTGATCTGGGAGCTCACAGCGAGACAGACACAGCGCTCTGATGACATATGATATTAACGTAAATGAAACGGGCTGGGGAGATGATGAAAGGCAGGTGTATGTGAGGAGACCAGGTGCTTTTTTCCACGCATCACCATCGCTGCGTGCCCATCTCACAGCCGATGTGAAAAAAAAAGGGGAATCAAATGAACGCTGTGCTCGCCGTTATCCCGGGGGTCTGACAAAGGAACTTCAACCGCTCGACATCGGTGTGAAGCGGCCGTTCAAAGTAAGGCTGCGAGCGGCGTGGGAGCGATGGATGACAGACGGAGACCACAGTTTCACGATAAGTGGAAGGCAGCGCCGGGCAAGTTACGCCACAGTTTGAGGATGGATTGTAGATGCTTGGACTAATGTGTCTGCTGGCTCTGTTGTTCAAGCTTTCGCAAAAGCCGGCATTATTTCTGAGGAGCCGCGCTGCACGGAAAGTGACTCTGACAGCGAAGAAGGGGAAACTGGCATGTCTGATTTAGCGCAGCTGTTTAATTCAGAAACAGAGGATGATGACTTTGATGGGTTTGATTAATACTTTGTAATAAATACATGAATAAAGCACAAACATACTCAGTTTTGCTCCCGCTCTATTTTTCTACCTGAAAACTTAATTCAACAGCAGCCTCTGGGCGGGTCTCCTCCTCTTCACCGCAGTGGCTGGCAGGTGTTTTTTCATCTAAATAATCTAAATCTTGCAGCTATATTTGCTGTGATCAGTGGGAATAAAGTAGTTTTAATATGTTTTTAAGTGAGAAAGTCCACCTGAAAACTTAATTGCAGTCAGTTCATCCAGATTATCTATTTCTGTCGGAGGCGCTCAGACCCCCACATACCAGCGGTGCACCGACAGTAAATCCCTTCAACAGCAGCCTCACACGGTGGCTGGCAGGTGTTTTTCATCTAAATAATTTACAGTGCAGGCACCAGGATACCGGCAATAAAAGCGAACATATTCCGTCGGCAGGTTTCAGGATTTTAAGTCAATTTAGGAGTGATCACAGCGCTGTGTCATCTGCGATGTGTCTGTCTCATGGCCAGCACGCAGGTTTGATTAATTTGTAATAAATACATGAATAAAGCACAGTCATACTCAGTTTTGGGCCCGCTGTATTTTTAAAATACGCAGTAGAGGTATTTAAAGGTAGTAGAGGACATTTCCCTGTATATAAAAAATGCGCCCTATAGTCCGGTGCGCCTTATGTGTGTGTTAAATACAGAAATGGGACACATAACTGAGACTGCGCCTTTTAGTACGGTGCGCCTTATGTGTGTGTTAAATACAGAAATGGGACACATAACTGAGACTGCGCCTTTTAGTACGGTGCGCCTTATGGTCGTGAAAATACGGTAATTTAGATCAGTTTTTACCATTGTTGTGTTAGCAAAAGCTAATTACAATAAGACGATGAGTGAGTCTAAATGAGAAGGAGAGTTTGCATTTTTTATTTACAGAACGTAACAGCAAAGAAAATAATGGTTAGAAAAGAAAATAAAAGTTAATGAGAAAAACAAAAATGCAGCTGAAATCCACAGACGTGCTGGAATAGGATAAACCAGTTGTTCCCACAGCGGGGCCCCTTTCAGGGCCCCCAGAATTACCAGAATTATTTACCCATTTTTAAAATAAATCCATTACATTATCGAATTCTGTTGCCCAGTAAAATGAATAGTTAAACTGAAAATAAATACATCTTCATAAAGGTGGTTTTATTATTTAATTAAAGGATATTGTTATTTTATCTCAGTACGGGAGTGAAAACTTTATCTTAATCCACAATATAGATTCATCAGCTTCACAGATAAAACAATAATATTCAAATCTCACTACATCTGCTCACAGAGTTGGGGAAGTTTTCACACCACAAGTCCTTGGTGGTCCAACCAGAACTGAAACCGGATCCGTCTGTGTTAACAGAATTACTTAAAAAAGTAAAGAACTGATTTCAATAACATTTTTACAGGAGGTGGTCCTCATGCAACCAAACAATCCGTTGAATTCTGGTGATGATCCAGTTTGTAATCTGGATACAGGATTTTTTTTAAAGGATTCTTTAACTTACTGAAAGAACAAGCAGCTTCCCTCCTGCTTGGAGGAGGTCTGCATTATGGAGGTCTGCTTGGAGGAGGTCTGCATTATGGAGGACTGTTTTGAGGAGGTTTGTTTAGTGAAGGTTTGCTTAGCTGTGGTCTGCTTGGTGGAAGTCTACTTGGCGGAGGTCTGCTTGGCATAGGTCTGCATTATGGAGGTCTGCTTGGAGGAGGTCTGCATTATGGAGGTCTGCTTGGAGGAGGTCTGCATTATGGAGGACTGTTTTGAGGAGGTTTGTTTAGTGAAGGTTTGCTTAGCTGTGGTCTACTTGGCGGAGGTCTGCTTGGCATAGGTCTGTTTGGCATAGGTCTGTTTGGCGGAGGTCTGCCTCCAGTAGGTCTGCATGGTGGAGGTCTGCTTAGCGATAGTTAGCTTGGCGGAGGTCTGCATCGAGTACGTCTGCATGGTGGAGGTCTGCTTAGCGATAGTCAGCTTGGCGGAGGTGTGCATGGAGGAGGTCTGCATGGTGGAGGTCTGCATTATGGAGGTCTGCTTGGAGGAGGTCTGCATTATGGAGGACTGTTTTGAGGAGGTTTGTTTAGTGAAGGTTTGCTTAGCTGTGGTCTGCTTGGTGGAAGTCTACTTGGCGGAGGTCTGCTTGGCATAGGTCTGTTTGGCATAGGTCTGTTTGGCGGAGGTCTGCCTCCAGTAGGTCTGCATGGTGGAGGTCTGCTTAGCGATAGTTAGCTTGGCGGAGGTCTGCATCGAGTACGTCTGCATGGTGGAGGTCTGCTTAGCGATAGTCAGCTTGGCGGAGGTCTGCATTATGGAGGACTGTTTTGAGGAGGTTTGTTTAGTGAAGGTTTGCTTAGCTGTGGTCTGCTTGGTGGAAGTCTACTTGGCGGAGGTCTGCTTGGCATAGGTCTGCTTGGCATAGGTCTGTTTGGCATAGGTCTGTTTGGCATAGGTCTGCTTGGCATAGGTCTGTTTGGCATAGGTCTGTTTGGCGGAGGTCTGCCTCCAGTAGGTCTGCATGGTGGAGGTCTGCTTAGCGATAGTCAGCTTGGCGGAGGTCTGCATCGAGTACGTCTGCATGGTGGAGGTCTGCTTAGCGATAGTCAGCTTGGCGGAGGTGTGCATGGAGGAGGTCTGCATGGTGGAGGTCTGCATTATGGAGGTCAGCTTGGTGGAGGTCTGCTTAGCGAAAGTCAGCTTTGTGGAGGTGTGCATGGAGGAGGTCTGCATGGTGGAGGTCTGCATTATGGAGGTCAGCTTGGTGGAGGTCTGCTTAGCGAAAGTCAGCTTTGTGGAGGTCTGCATGGAGGAGGTCTGCATTATGGAGGACTGTTTGGTGGAAGTCTACTTGGCAGAGGTCTGCATGGTGGAGGTCTGCATTATGGAGGACTGTTTGGCGGAGGTCTGCATGGAAGAGGTCAGCTTGGTGGAGGTCTGTGTTCTTGGATTGCTTTTCTAGTTTTCCTTAACGAGCAGTTGTTAATTTGGTCCGACAGTAAAATAGTAATCTTTGCTCCGTATAAACCCGTTTCTGGGGTCTGGTTTTGCTTTCGGTCTTTAGGTTTAGATTATCTCCTCCACCCGCATCTTAAAGACAAACGGTTGTTCAGGAATACTTGGTAACGACCATCCTAAGGAATAACTACAGAGGTAAAACCAAAGATACCTTCTAAACATCAACAGTAGCTACGGCGTGCAGGGATAACGGTCTCTATGTTACTCTACTAAAAGACAACATCAACACATTCCACACAGAGGATGGAAGTAAAACATGGTGGTTAGAAATGTTCTTATTGTTCCGTATTAGAACTCCAGAAAGTTGGTCACGATGGCGGCGTTGTAGATCAGATCGGAGATGTATCCCATTGAGGTCTGAGGTCCCATTTGGGAATGATGGTGGTGGTGGTGGTGGCCTTGCCCTTGGGCTACCTCCCAGCACACTGGTTGATGATGGGAAGTTTGGTCCGCTGAAGCGTGAGCTCCACCGCCAACGCTGGCTCCGTACACGGGCTGATGGTTCCCAGGCGGAGCCAGGCTCTGAGGCCTGAAGTTGGTGAAGGCCTGGTATGAGCGGGTGGAGGGATGGTGGTGACCCTGCCTGCTGATTGGCTGAGGAAAAGATCCGGAAATGATGCGGCTGAATCTCGGCCCCAGCTGCTGCTCCTCCTCCCAGCGGTGCCCATCTGACCCTTTGGAGCAGCTTTGGAGGAGCTTTGGTGCAGGCTGCTGATGAAGCGATGAAGAAGATGGAGCGGTGTACGATACCTGGTTGCTATAAATTTGGATCAAATCAGAGTAAATTTGAGGCATTTCTTCACAGGACTGGTTCTGGTCCTGCCTGAATATCTCTGCCAGGGTGGTTGTAGCTGGGTAGGTGGAGCTCCCGAGTCCAGCAGAAGGCTCCAGGAGACATGGACCTCTTCCATCAGACTTGGTGGGCCTGCTCAGTCTGCTTGTTTTAATGCTCCTCGCTCTTCTGTTCTGGAACCAGACCTGGTGGGGGGGGGGGGGGGGGGTGGGGGGGGGGGGAGAAACGAGGCAGATCACTGCTGAGTATCCTCATCGTCTCAGAGCTAAGCTCATCTTCTAACTATCAAGTCAGAATTCGCATCATAAATACCATATTTTCCAGACTATAGAGACACCTCACTGTTTGCTGCTTCCAATAAATTTTCAGAAGAAAACTTGAGACGTACGTATTATAAGCCTCACCGGGCTATAAGCCTCACCGGGCTATAAGCCTCACCTGGCTATAAGCCTCACCTGGCTATAAGCCCCACCTGGCTAAAAGCCTCACCTGGCTATAAGCCTCACCTGGCTATAAGCCTCACCTGGCTATAAGCCTCACCTGGCTAAAAGCCTCACCTGGCTATAAGCCTCACCTGGCTATAAGCCCCACCTGGCTAAAAGCCTCACCTGGCTATAAGCCTCACCTGGCTATAAGCCTCACCTGGCTAAAAGCCTCACCTGGCTATAAGCCTCACCGGGCTATAAGTCTCACCGGGCTATAAGTCTCACCTGGCTATAAGCCTCACCGGGCTATAAGCCTCACCTGGCTATAAGCCTCACCGGGCTATAAGCCTCACCGGGCTATAAGTCTCACCTGGCTATAAGCCTCACCGGGCTATAAGCCTCACTGGGCTATAAGCCTCACCTGGCTATAAGCCTCACCGGGCTATAAGTCTCACCTGGCTATAAGCCTCACTGGGCTATAAGCCTCACCGGGCTATAAGCCTCACCGGGCTAAAAGCCTCACCTGGCTATAAGACTCACCGGGCTATAAGCCTCACCTGGCTATAAGCCTCACCTGGCTATAAGCCTCACCTGGCTATAAGACTCACCGGGCTATAAGCCTCACCTGGCTATAAGCCTCACCTGGCTATAAGCCTCACCGGGCTAAAAGCCTCACCTGGCTATAAGCCTCACCTGGCTATAAGTCTCACCTGGCTATAAGCCTCACCTGGCTATAAGCCTCACCGGGCTATAAGCCTCACCGGGCTAAAAGCCTCACCTGGCTATAAACCTCACCGGGCTATAAGCCTCACCGGGCTATAAGCCTCACCGGGCTATAAGCCTCACCGGGCTATAAGTCTCACCTGGCTATAAGCCTCACTGGGCTATAAGCCTCACCGGGCTATAAGCCTCACTGGGCTATAAGCCTCACCTGGCTATAAGCCTCACCGGGCTATAAGTCTCACCTGGCTATAAGCCTCACTGGGCTATAAGCCTCACCGGGCTATAAGCCTCACCGGGCTAAAAGCCTCACCTGGCTATAAGACTCACCGGGCTATAAGCCTCACCTGGCTATAAGCCTCACCTGGCTATAAGCCTCACCTGGCTATAAGACTCACCGGGCTATAAGCCTCACCTGGCTATAAGCCTCACCTGGCTATAAGCCTCACCGGGCTAAAAGCCTCACCTGGCTATAAGCCTCACCTGGCTATAAGTCTCACCTGGCTATAAGCCTCACCTGGCTATAAGCCTCACCGGGCTATAAGCCTCACCGGGCTAAAAGCCTCACCTGGCTATAAACCTCACCGGGCTATAAGCCTCACCGGGCTATAAGCCTCACCGGGCTATAAGCCTCACCTGGCTATAAGCCTCACCGGGCTATAAGCCTCACCTGGCTAAAAGCCTCACCGGGCTATAAGCCTCACCGGGCTATAAGCCTCACCTGGCTAAAAGCCTCACCGGGCTATAAGCCTCACCGGGCTATAAGCCTCACCTGGCTATAAGCCTCACCGGGCTATAAGCCTCACCTGGCTATAAGCCTCACTGTTGGGAGCTGGAGAAGTTCCACCTTTCTCCAGCAGAGTCCGCCGTGGATCCTTCTGAGTGAGCCTCCTGCACAGCTGCAGCCCATCAGGATCATCAGAGGATCCACTATATAAGCTGTCTTCAGACCTTGCCTAAACGCCGCAGTGTTGATCCAGTTGGTCAGCGCCTAAGCCTAGATCCTCAGTGTAACTTTGTGACTTTGAATCCAGCCTGGATTCTAACCGTTATCTCTGTCTTCCAGGAAACCAGTGTCTCCTCTGTGAAGCTCAGGAAGAGCTAACCTGCCGAGCCGACCCTCTGAGCCAAACCTGAAGATTCATAGAGAACTTCCATGCAGCTCAGGACTAAGAGCTGGAAAACCCAAAGCCAAGGTCTGTTCATGATTAGACGTGAGACGCTGAAGCAGCAAGCGGACTCTGCTGATGAACTCCTCTCCAGATCCAACAGTGACTCTCCCAAAGCTAACCTCAAGAACCCTCAAGGTACAACCAGTTATCATCTAGAAATCAAGCTCCTGCTTGCAACGCTAACTGAACTGTCTCTCACGCAGACTCCAGTGAACCAGTGTCCAGGCCCGAACCAGAACCAGTATTTTCAGTGTGCTTGTATCAAAATAAACTTGTTGAACTTTTATTCCTGTGTCCGTCAGTGGTGTTCTGCATACTTGGGTCGCTATTAGTGAACCCATCATGACAGAACACTGCGGCCAAACTCAAGGCCCAGCAGATCACCTCACCCGTCGATTGGAGGAGCAGGATGCCCAAATTCAAGGACAAACCCAAACGCTCCGTGAGTTATACCGCCTGGTTGATACTCATAACCATATGCTACAGAGCTATGCTAACTATTTGAACAGCGCTAATGCTGCACCAGCACCACAACCATATCCGGGTCCAGTTCCACCTCCGAGGTCACCAGCGGTGACGTCATCAGAGTTCCGCCCAAGTCTTCCAGAAAGATTTTCTGGTAACATGAAAGATTGCAAAGGATTTTTATTTCAGTGTCGTTTGATTTTTCAGTACTCCCCAGGCAGCTTTTCCACGGATTACAAGAAAATAACCTTCATCCTCTCTCAGCTAACAGGAAGAGCCTTGGAGTGGGCTCAGGCAAGATTTGCCACCGACGATAGCCTTAACTGTTATTACTCTGATTTCCTCTCTGAATTTACTCAGGTATTCAACCAAGAGACAGATCAAACCATTGACTCTCGAGCTCTTTTCAATCTAAAACAGGGAAATTCTTCTGTGGCTGAATTCTCCATCAACTTCCGGGTTAAAGCGGCAGCTTCCGGTTGGAACCAAAGCGCTCTGAAGGGAGCCTATTTCATGGCTTTAAATGAGCACATTAAAGATGAGCTTGCAACCCTCGACGAACCAGCTACCCTCAAAGATCTAATTCGTCTTACCATTAGATTGGACAATAGAATCCGTGCCAGAAACAGTTCTAAAAGGCAGGGGACACTTTCTTCTGCCTCACATAACGTGACTGTTTGTTCTTCCTCTACAGAGCAGCTGCCCATTCAGAGACCTAAGTCCCAGTCTCTACCGCTGCCCATTCAGGCCTCTCATTCGGGCGAAAGAAATGTCGAACCCATGCAGGTGGGACACACGAGGCTCACCCCAGAGGAGAGACAAAGACGTTTTCTAAGCAAATTATGCATTTACTGTGGTGAGAGTGGACACTTCATCGCTTCCTGCCCGGCTAAATCAAAAGCCTGGGCCCGCCAGAGGATCTGAGGAGTCTGGCGGGCCAAATTAACACTAAGAAATCTCCTCGACTGTTACTTCCTGCCACGTTGTTTTGTTCTAACCAAAGCCTCTCTTTTTCTGCATTCATCGATTCAGGCTGTGAACGGAACTTAATCGATTCTAACCTCGTCCAACAGCTCCAAATTGAAACCATTCCTCTGACTCAGCCTCTTAGTGTTTCTGCTATTGACGGAAAGAGACTTCACCAAGTTACCCATCAAACTCAGCCCCTCGAGCTACTTCTGTCAGGTAACCACCGAGAGACAATAACATTTTTTGTTTTTCCCTCTGCATGTTCCCCTCTGGTACTTGGTTTCGAATGGTTGGAGAAGCATAATCCTCACATTAATTGGACAGAGCGTCACCTGGAATCTTGGTCCACTTCATGCCATGAAACATGCCTCCGTTCAGCTGCCCCCTTGGTGGGGTCTCCTAGAGGTGGGGGGGAGATGGACTCTCCTGACCTTTCTTCTGTTCCTTCCGAGTACCATGACCTAGCACCTGTCTTCAGTAAGGTCAGTGCGACGTCCCTACCTCCACACAGACCATATGACTGCGCCATTGAACTATTACCTGGTGAACCACTACCTAGCAGCAGATTGTATAATATTTCCAAGCCTGAAAGAGAAACCATGGAAAAATACATTAATGAATCATTAGCTGCAGGAATAATCCGCCCATCTTCCTCTCCTTTGGGCGCTGGATTCTTCTTCGTTGGAAAGAAAGATGGCTCTCTGAGACCATGTATTGATTACCGAGGTTTGAACCAGATCACAATAAAGAACAAATACCCACTTCCTCTACTCGCCTCTGCATTCGAACCCGTACAGGGAGCCACAGTTTTCTCTAAACTGGATTTAAGGAACGCATATCATCTTCTTAGGATCCGAGAAGGAGATGAATGGAAAACAGCCTTCAAGACTCCATTGGGCCAATTTGAGTATTTGGTAATGCCTTTTGGTCTAACTAACGCTCCAGCCTGCTTCCAGGCCCTTGTGAATGATGTTCTCAGAGACTTTTTAAATGTATTTGTCTTCGTTTACATTGACGACATACTCATTTACTCCAAGAACCTCAATGAACATAAGAAACATGTCCGCCTTGTTTTACAGAGACTGCTGGAGAACAAGCTGTTCGTAAAGGCAGAGAAGTGCGAATTTCACCAGTCTTCAGGCACCTTTTTGGGGTTTGTGCTCGAGGGCGGCCAGGTAAAACCATCTGAGGACAAGATAAAGGCAGTTTTAGACTGGCCAGTTCCAGAAAACCGCAAACAGCTACAGAGATTTCTAGGCTTTGCAAACTTTTATCGTCGGTTCATCCGGAACTATAGCCAGACCACCCTTCCACTAACTTCTCTGACCTCTGTCAAATGCACTTTTCAGTGGACTCCTGAGGCGCAAGCTGCGTTTGATAAATTAAAATCTTTATTTTCCAGAGCACCAGTGCTAATGTAGCCTGACCCAGCTA